CGTCCTCGACAGAATCTTCATTGGTGGTCTGTCATCCCCCCTTTCCTCGTGCTCTGCCTTTTCCTCCTCGCTCTGATCTTCCTCTGTTTTCATGTTGGTCCGCTGCGGTGTCCTCCTGGTCCTCCAGAGCGCCCTCCTCGTCATCCTCCGTGTTAGCGTCCTCCCTTTCTTTTTCTTCGTCGCCCCAGTCGTCTTCGTCCTCCTCGCCCCCATCCCGTTTCCTGCGTTTCGTCCTCCGCCTACCCCCCCCCTCCTCATCAGCGCTGTCCGTGCAGTCGCCCACCCTGTCGTCCTCTTCGTCGTCGTCCCCACTCCCCTCATTGCTGCGCCAATTTCCTTGCGTTGACGCAATACCCCCGCGTTCTTCGTCTCGCTCGCATTCCTACTTGCCCATTTCCACGTCCTCCCCTTTTCCCTCATGCCTGCCCCCACCTTCCCTCTGCGCCTTCCTCCAGACCTGATTGCCCAGCGATGGTGCCGCATGTTTCCCCGCGGTTGTCCCGTCCACGGGCGCGCGCGCGCGATTGCAATGGAAATGCCGCCTCTAGTTGACCCGGCCTGGTTTGATGAACCCTTCATTTTTGTGGGTCGTGCACTGCGTAAGCCCCGAGTGAGGTTGAGAGCAATGCAAGCCAGGTCCCGATCCCGTGTCTCCCCGATTTGTTCTTCCTCTCGCGCCGCTGCTGCTCTTCCTCCCCCTCCTTGCGCGCGTGCTGCGACCCCGTTTTCGCGACTCGGTTGCGCTGCTCCGTGCAATGTGGCGTTTATGTTTGGCGGTTGATTCGGCCCCCAGGGAACATGACTACGACTGATTGTCGTCGGCCGAGCGCGGATGCATAGCAGATTGTTGCGCGTTTCTTTTCGCCGCTGTCTTTTCCTCTCCCTCCCTCCCTCCTCCCGCACTTGCGGGCGCTACTTCGTGACAGTTTCGTTGTGTTGCCGTTTTTGCGGGCCGCCTCCTCATTTTTGGATGTGCCGCCCTATCCTCGATGTTGTTGTTTTTGTTTGCTCAGCTTGTCTGTTTCCGTAGCCAGACCTTCGGTCGCGCTCGAAAGGCAACTCTGCGAGGGGGTACTTTCTCGACGGCGTGTCTGGCGAGGCGAGTGGCGTGAATCATTGCTGCCCGTTCCCATCACATGTGTAAGCCCCGATTGAAAACAAACAACTGCGCCTATACAGCGTGGAGCAGTGAGGTCGGCGCGATGCTTATGTGTTTCGTCATGTCGTGTTTGTGTCGGACAGTGCTGGGGTAGTTTGGAGATCCTTAGTGTCCTCAGATCTACATTACAGCACGTGTGATTACAATCATGTGTCCGCTCAGTTATCGCGAGTCACCTGCAACGGCGCACCAAAAATAAAACTTGCAGTGAGGTTTCCCGCCGTTCGTTCTTAACCCTCATCCTGTGGTGTTGGATTTTCGTTTTGGAAAGATGGCGCCCCGCGTTTTCCTCCCTCCCTCCTCCTCCTCCTCCTCCTTGTCCTCCTCCTCCTCCTCTTCTTCCTCCTCCTCCCTCCTCTTCCGTCGCTCCCCCCCTCCTCTCATCACCACCACCGATATCATTGCCATCACCACCACTTAATGGGGCGCACCTTTTTGCACGCTTCGCGGGCCCATAGGGAGCTCGACCTGAGGCTCCAGCGGCGACGTTCCTATGCGTCCCTGCCACCCATTGTGACACACCCCTCACGCGGCGCGTGGCCCCAAAGGAGCTCTACCAAAATGCTCCAGCGGCGACGTTCCTATGCTTCCCCGCCAGTGTTTTGGCACACTCCTCGCGTGATTCGCGGGCCCAAATGAGAGCTCCACCTAAGGCCCAAGCGGCGACGTTCCCATGCGTCCCCGCCACCGATTTTCTCACACCATTCGCACGTTTCGTGACCCCGTAGGGAACCCCACCTGAGGCTCCAGCGGCGATGTTCCCTTGCGTCCCTGCCACCCATTTTCGGCACGCCCCTCGCACGGGTCGTGGCCCCATAAGGAGTTCTTCATCAAGCTCCAGCGGCGACGTTCCCATGAGTCCCCGCCGCCCATTTCCAACACAACCTTCACGCGGTTTGTGGCCCCAAAGGGAACTCCACCTACGGCCCCACTGGCGACGTTCCCATGCGTTGCCGCTGCAAATTTTTGGGGCACACCCTTCACACAATAGGGAGCTCCACCTAAGGCTCTAATGGCGACGCTCCCTTGCGCCTCCGCCACCCCTTTTGACGCACAATTTACATGGCCCGTGTCCCCATAGGGAGTTCCATCACCCTTGGTCCCAGTGGCGACGTTCCCATGCGTCACCGCCGCCCATGTGGGTACACCCCTCACACGGTTCGTGGCCCCATGGGCCCATGGGGAGCTCCACTTTAAGCCCCAGGCGACGCTCTCATGCGTCGTCGCCACCAATTCTGCCACACCCTCACAGGGTTCGTGGGCCCAAAAAGAGCTCCACCTAAGGCTCCAGTGGCGACGTTCCCGTGCGTCCCCGCCACCCATTTTGGCACACTCTTCGCACGTTTCGTGACCCCGTAGGGAACCCCACCTGAGGCTCCACGGGCGATGTTGCCCTGCGTCCCCTCCACCCATGGCGGCAAACCTCTCACGCGGTTCGTGGCCCCGTGGGGAGCTCCACTGGAGGCCCCAGTTGCGACGCCCCCGCCACCCATTTTTGGCACGCCCCCCGCGCGGGTCGTGGTCCCATAAGGAGCTCCACCACCTAAGGCCCCAGTGGCGACGTTCTCATGCGCCCCCGCCCTCCAATTTGGTCACGCCCCTCACACAGTTCGCGGCCCCAGAGGGACCTCCACCTACGGCTCCAGTGGCGACATTCTCATGCGTCCCAGCCACACATTTTCGGCACGCCCCCCACACGGTTCGTGTCCCCCTAGGGAGTGCCACCGAAGACGATATCCACAATTGTGTTACTCACATGTGCGAATCGTTGGGTGCTTCGCCAGGCTATTTTTGGCGAGGCACCAGTGACGACGCAGCTCTATCAATACAGTGACCACATCACTCAGTGTGGTAGGAAAGTTGGTACATGAGATCGTGAGAGAGCCCGCCTGATTAGATTGCTAGGTTCCCAAATGTCGGGCAGGCGCGCCGGAGCACATTGTGGCACTATCGTGTCGCGTGCCGTGACCAGTTGCGGAATCACCGCCTGTCGGTCTCGGCGCAACGATCATTGGGGTCTTATGATTTTCCCGTGCACCGAGGTCCCACCATCGTTTTGCTTGCGATGTCTGGATTCGGGGATTATGACGGACTATTGCGTTGAGTTGCGATACTTCGGGTGGTGCATTGGGGGAACGTGTGCAGGGGTCTTGTAGACCGCACGGGGCGCGATGTTTCTACGGGAGGTGTCCTGAATGAGTTCGCTGGTTTCACAGAGTGGTCAGTTCGGTGCATTCATTTGTCGGTGGGCCCTCACGGACGCGTCTGGGGAGATATCATGCTGTTTGGGGCATGCGTCAGCGCCGCAGTGGCGTGCGCCGAAGATTTCCCCGTTGTCCCTGAACCCTGCAAAACCTTCCCGCGCCGATACTATGCGAAAGTACGCGGGAAACGAACGCCGACCACCCGAGGTCAATTTGGCTACCCAGTGTGATGCTGCAGGATTCCGTTTGCGTCACGCGTCTTGCAAGTTTTTTTCTGGACCTCTCGAGGTTCCTTTTTTATCAGAACGTCGGTTACTTCGAGGCGGTGGGGCAGAGGAGTGGGGGCGCTTCGACGATTCGGGCGTTGCCTGGGGATTTTTGGTAGCCTCTTTCGGCAGTCTGCCTGGGGTCCACGAGGAAATCGCGAGGCCCAAATGGACGGTGAGGTTTCGGGCACGCGTCAACGTGCAACGGTAAAACTTGGCGACATTTGTCACGCTTCGCGCGCCCCCACCAGCCCATGCGGAAACCCTGCCTATGACAGTTCCTAGGAAAAAAGGGACGAAAAGACACATATAGTGAATCAGGGCGGGTAGCCAGGGCGAACAGAGAGATCACTGGGAGCAACAGGGCGGCCTTGGAGAATCGGTCAAATGACCCACTACTGGCTGCCTACGCAGCCTCGTGGTGTATTCGAGTGGCACGCTTGTCTCTCTTCACTTCTCTCGGGGTAGGGACGTGGACGAGGAGGAAGAGGAAGACAATGGAGACGAGGACAGAGAACTCGAAGTCGCTCTTTGAGCTCTCGTGCGATTCCTCGGTGGATATTGGGGTTATTTTGGGGCTCTTTGGGTGGGTCTTCGGTCCCTCTGGGGTCCTCTTGGGGTTAGCCTTGAAAGGTCTCTTGGGCCTATCGTGCAAGGCGTCGGTGAAAACAAAGGGGGGTCGTTCACCCAGGACACACGATTCAAAAACATGTAAATCCATGTCTTGCAGCATTGGAGGCCCTCTTGAGGCTCTCTTAGGGGCCTGTTGAGAGCCTTGAAGGCCTCTTGGGCGTATCGTGGAGGGCGTCGGGAAAGTAGAGAGGAAGTCATGATGTTTGGCTCCCCCGATGTAACCATCAACATCGCCTCCTGGGGTGCTGTTGGGCCGCTTTGGGGCATTCCTGAACCTAACCATTTTGCTCCAGGAGTACACTGCAATGCACGACGAAGCGTGTCCCGTGTGTTTCTCTAGCACCGTGTGTTCCTCTAGCACCTTTCCTCAGTCGCAACGGCCACCTTTAGAGTAACAATACTACGGGCGGCGGCGCGCTTAGTCATAATACATGTGCAATGTGCGGGGCGGCCCCGCGACCCCACAACCCCACGACCCCACCTTAGTACAATCAGTCATTTTAGCAGTCTCACCGAACACATGTTGGACGCTCCAACGCTCCGCGAACACCGCCCCAAAAAAACCGGAGAGGGGGCGTGCATCTCCTGCGCGAAGAAGGCTTTGGAAGAGAATAGAAGGATATTGCTAGACCGCCTTCTTCCAAAGGGCTGGTGCGACTCCCCAGTCCGCACTGCGCAACCTATATCTCTGACGCGCCATCGTGGCTTCATGGTGAATCCGGCTGGGTGGCCCCGCAGGCAACGTGGTTGGAAGGAGCCACCTGTTCGAAGATATCCTCGGCATTCTGGCGCTTGAGGCTGGCCCCATCGAGGGTCGCGACATTGTGCACATTTGCTCTGTGGATCCTTTTTCTGGGCGTCGTTGTTGTGCAGATCGGGATGAATGCGTTGATAAATTCGTGCAGACCTACACCGCATTCTGGTTCGGAAGATCGTGGCCTATCCCAGCTACTGCCAGATTCACAAATACAAAGATAAATTCGAACCTCGTCTGTTTCGGCTTCATGCTGCACCAGGTCCTGCCCGCCATGCTTCACCCGTCTAACGTTGACCCAGAGGCCGGTGTCGACTTTTACCAAGTCGGCGTCGGCATGTCTGATTATCAAATCGTCCACGGGGTGCGGAAGAGAAAGGTCCACGAAGCCTTCGTGGTGGACAGAGGCGCGAAATTCCAGATGTTCGTTATGAATATCGCCAGTGACCCTTTGGATCGTTTGACTTACTGCATCTTCGGGGATAAAGATATTGGGCCGCTGACCTTGCACAAACTCATATCCCCTCATGATGGTATCATTGGTCGCACCAAGCAGAAGTTCCTCGACATGTTCCGAGAGTGGGCCGCCCCCGACTCGCAGATTTGGTTCGGATTGCGCAGGGCCTTGAACGGCGCCAGGCCTACTGAAGCTGAGCGGCGGTACGCTCGGCGAAACATCATGAAATTTTCGGGAGGAGCTTTTCGACGGTTTGAGCTGCCATATTCGCATTCACCTTACACAATGCATTACCTGTATTGCGACGAGTGCTACCCGAACGAAGCCCAGAAGGAACCGTGGATCAACCAATTTTTCCATGCCAACTCGTGCGACCTTTCGATTCTCGGCCGCAGGTTTCGACAGCTGTTCCCGTCACCCAGAGATTTGCAGAAAAGGGCTGCTAAAGTTGCCGTTCGCACATGGGAGGAACTTCTCATTTTCTCGACTAAAGCATCCGAGGGCGACCACGCTAGAGGTCGGAGGGTCTTAGCCGCCTGCCGCAAAGCCTGGAACTTGAAGACATTCGCCTGTAGGCTCTACCTCGACAGCATGCGAGAGCGGCATCAGGCAGCTGGCGGCCACAAGGTGTGGAGGAAACCTGGGGACGCGCCGAAACGGGCGGCTGATGCGGCCCCATGGGAGTCGGTGCCAAAGCTGATGGACACTCTGCCGCGCCTCCATTCCATTTGTGATGCCGAGGGCCAGTGCGAGGCCGAATCAGCAGTGGCGCTGCGAGCGGCGCCGATGGCCGAGGACGACGGCGACGCTTTCCGCCGACAGTCAGGTCGCAAGAGGGCCCACTGCAAGATAGCTGGCCTGAACCCGAAATTGTACGCTTACAACCAGCGCATGGAGGCCGCGAAGAAGCTGAAGGGGGCCACGCTGACGGACGGCGAGATGGCGCGGATCAGGCCGCCAGGGGATCAAAGGCGCCACATGGCCCCTGCCGTTACTTCACGCAGTCGATCGCAGCATTTGTGAGGCCCCCCCCCCCAGCGTTGCACAGCATGTAGGCCCTCTATGTTTGAACCGGCGCTGATGAGCTAACGCATGCAGACAATGCGCGATTGCGCCCGTAAGCAAAACACCAGCCGAACCAGAACGCAAACCACATCGAGCCAAAGCAACGCAAGGCGACGCGCCGCAAAACAGCTACCAACGCAACTCGATGCAAGGCGACGCAACTGAGGCCGCGCAGAGCGTTGCAGGCAAACGCAAGGCGCAGCAACATGCTTTCTGGTTTTTCGCAGGTGAATACTGCTTGCGGCAGTAGGTTTCAGACGAACTTTCCGCGCAGCCACGCTGGGATGATGATCAGAAAGCCCGCTCAGACCTGAGCGAGGTTTCGACTGCCACACGTTTTGCATCGCGCGCGCATCCCCACTGGTCCACCCAGGGGGGCCGCGCCGAAGGGAACTGTCCTAGCCGTCGGGGCGCGGCATTATTTGTATACCTCGGGGGGGGGCCAAAGGCCTCGTTGCTGCTTCTCGGAGTCGTTTGGAATTTCTCCTGGGGGCCTCGTTGGGGGTCTTTTGGCGCGCGTTGGGGTTTTGGTGGGTTCTGGGTGCCTCTCAGGGGTCTGTTGGTGGCCTCTCCTGGGCCTCTTGCGCGCCTCCTGGGGCCGCGTCGGGTGCCATTTTTGAAACTCGACCGCGGGTAGGGGATCGCCATTCAACGACGCGCCCCGCCCCCACCCCCCTCCCCCAATCGACGAGCATCGGTCCAGAATTGAAAAGGTACCCGCTGGGGCTTCTCCTGGTCGCGAATACTGACGCACTCCTCAACCAGGCCAGGGCCCGACCCCCCTCCCCCCCCACCCCCGAACACTGCAAGGGAATGCTGGGGGCTCCTGGGATTAGCGTGCTTTGGTTTGGGTTGTGGCGCAGGGGGTTCTCTGCCCGCAGGCAGGATGTCGACGCAGATTTTGGCGACCCCGTTCTGGTTGCATACATGGAGGACAACTACAAGAAGTATTGCCACGGCGTTTGGACAGGCGACGCCAGCGTCGCTGCCGGTGGGCGGCAGGCCGCCGAGCACTTTCGTCCATATCTTGGCATTGATTGTGCGGACTTGCCCTTACACCCTCAGCATCTCGTTTCCTATCACGACGAGTGCAAGTGGACATTTGGCGACTCACCCGCAGCGGTGCAAGCATTTATCGTCGACGAGCCCGTTGCAAATATTGAGCCATCGTCTTCGACGTCTTTGCCATGCGGAGCTCGGTTGTGCAATGTGTGCCCAATTTTGCGCTCTGAGCCCACGTGCTCGCAGAAGTTCGAGGTGTTGAAGGATGGCCTGTCGAATATCGTCGACGAGGTTGGCTCTAAGATCGCCAAGTTCGGCGAGTTGATGCTGATGGTGACCATGTCTTTCCCTCACAATGCTCACGCGAAGTACAAGCACGTTTTTATCACTTGCGCGGTGCCGACATTCCGGCCGAGAGTGCAGGTGTGGGTGAAATCGAGTTTGACAACCGACGAGGTCGGTTCTTGCCCAGTTGAGGTCGACGCCGAGACAGAGCACATTGCGTTGCCTTTCTTTCTGAACTTATTGTCGCGGCCTTGCCTGATCAAGTCCGACTTCATGTCGTTGTCAGAACTCACTGGCGAAGACCTTGCGTTGGAGATCGCCACCGCCCCTGGCTGCCGCTCCGTTGTCGCCAGGCAGTTGGAGTACGATGTGATGGAGGAGATCTTCGTGGTGAAGGTCGGCCGCGTGGGGGACGCCATCACTCTGTGGGAACCTGGGCAGCGGGCGCCATACAAGAAGGCACCACCTCCAACATCTGGCTTGGACTTGTTGCCCAAGGGCGACCCTTTCGCACCGCGGGCCAGGAGCGCGGGGCCGCGGCAGTTTCGTGGCCGAGGTCGTTGGGCAAAACGGGGGCGTAGTGTTCACCTCGACAGAAGCGCCCGAGGAAGTTGCCCAGCTCTCTCTGGGTGGCCCCCTGGGCACAGTTGTCCTGTCGATTGCGGTCGGCATCGCAGTTAAGCGCGCATTGTCGAAACATGCTTTGCTACACCGTCGGGGTTTGCCACTCACTGCGCTGGAATTGTCAGGCTCGGTGGCCTCGAGGATGTTGTGTCTCGTGTGTGTCGTTGTGCTGTGTTCTATGGTAATGCTCCATTGTGCTTCCGTTTGCTTCTAATGGTTTTTTTCGTCGTCCTCTCCTTTTGCTGGTCATGCCAGTGGGCCCACTGGGGTCCTCCAGCGATCCCGACTGCAGAATTCTCTCCCAAACCGGGGAGGGGGGAAATAACGACAGCGCGCTAGCAATATAACAACAACAAAACCTGGGACGGACCAGAGGGGAGCAGGAGGAGCAGGGAGGGGGGACCAGGGGGGATGGCCAAGGGGAGAGGTCGGGAGGGTGAGTGGACAGATGCCAGGGCGAGGCGAGGCGGAGCGGGGCTAGGGGGGGGAGGCAGGAAAATGGGCGGCAATGCGTCTGGGGGTTCGCAATCCAGTCTTGTTCGCCACGAGGTATCCCCACCGAGAAGCTGAAGATATCCAGTTGCATGCAGCAAGCCCCACCACCGCGCCAGCCAAGCGTTGTCGTCGACGATTGTTCGAAAGGGGCGTCGAAGGCCGCAGAGAAGACGAATGGTGGGCGTAGGAACTAGAGTGTACCCGATTGGCCCGCGCGGGCGCAACTCGTCCTACTCGAACCATCTATCCACAAACATTCCGCCCTTTCGTGTGTTCAGTTTCCCCGTCGTTCCTTTTTAGCTTCTGGGCCGTCTCGAGCCGACGGCATTTTGAAAAGGTGAGAGTGCGAATGCGCAGCCTGCCTCTCAGGAGCCTGAGGAGTTCCTGGTTGTTCTGGGACCCTCCTTGGCCCTTTTGGGAACTTCTTGGGTTGTGCTGGGGTCATGGCGGGACGTCTGGGACCATCGTGAGCCGTCATAAAGGCATGTTGGGCCATGTTGGCCGCCATGGCCATGGCACCTTGCGTCGGATTTTCTAGATACGGTACGGGGTCTGCACATGCCTACGGTCAATTCCGCCACCGCGCCAGCCCAACATGATCGGCGCCTCTCCTTCGAGGGGGCACTGGAGGCCGCAGTTGCGACCCGCGAGTGTCATGATGACGAGGGTAAGGGTGATGATGAGCATGATGATGGTGGTGGTAATGGGAATGATGCTGATACCGATGGTTATGATGATGATGCTGATGGTGGTGGTGGTGCTGTTGATGATGACGATCATGCAGACGATGATGCTAGTGCTGCTGATGCTGATGCCGATGCTGCTGATAATGATGCTGTTGATGATGTTGTTGATGATGACGATGATGATGGTGATGATGCTGATGATGTGGATGTCCATGGCGATGTTGATGCTGGTGACGACGATGATGATGCGATGATGATGCTAATGATGGTTTTCCTGATGATGGTGTTGCTGATGGTGATGATGGCGATGCTGATGATGCTGGTGATGATGAGGATGATGAGGATGATGATGATGATGATGATGATGATGATGATGATGACGATGATGATGATGATGATGATGATGATGATGATGATGCTGATTATGATGATGATGATGAGGATGATGATGATGCTGGCCATGATGATGCTGATGATGAATGGTGATGGTGATGGTGATGCTGCGTGTGATGATGGTGTTGGTGGTGGTGATGATGAGGGTGGTGCTGGTTGGAATCTCGTGGGTGGCCTATCGGGGGCTTCTTAACAGCAATTTTGGCAACGACGGACCCCCCGAACATGTGACCATTTGTCGTCCAAGGCCCACCACCACCCAACGTGGCGAAACTTGCGCACTTCGCCACCGTGCAGAGCGCCGCGAGGTCCCAACTGGGTCCGCGTGCCGCTCCACTTCGCTAGACCCCTCCAGGAGCCCATGAAAGTTGCTACAGTTGCGCACGTCGTAGCAGCGCAGGGCACCGCGAGGTCCCAACCGGGTCCGCGTACCACTCCACTCCGCTGGACCTCCCAGGAACCCGACACATTGGCGACAGCTGCGCCCTTCGCAGCCACGCAGGGTGCCGCGAGGTCCCAACTGGGTTCCGCTTACCACTCCACTCTGCTGCACCCTTCAGGACCCCACCAGAGCGGCGGCAATTGCACACTTCGCAGCCGCGCAGGGCGCCGCGAAGTCCCAGCTGGGCGCGCGTACCACTCCACTCCGCGCGACCTCCTCGGAGACCGCGAAATTGGCGACATTTGCGCACTTCGCAGCCACGCAAGGCGCTGCGAGGTCCCAACTGGGTCCGCGTACCACCTCATTCCGTTAGGCCTTCCATGAGCCCACGAAATTGGCGACAATTGCGCACTTCGCAACCATGCAAGGCACCGCGAGGTCCCAACCGGGTCCGCGTACCACTCCGTTCCGCTGGGCCCCCCAGGAGTCCGCGAACGCGGCGACACTTGCGCACTTCGGATCCACGCAGAGCGCCGCGAGGTCCCAGCTGGGTCCGCGTACCACTCCTCCCCGCTGAACCTCCCAGGGGCCTGCGAAAGTGGTGGCAGTTGCGCACTTCGCACGCCTCCAGGGACGCACGCATCACGAAGGAGAGAAGGTAGGGAAACGAGAATTACCCTGTGACGTACCCAACCCATTTGTACCAATGGAAACGAGGAGTTGGCCGAAATTTGTATGGACAATCGACTTGATGTGTAAGCTGCTTGGGAGACGTCACTGTGATGGGCCCCGCATGCAGGCCTCGAACGTGGCGACAGTTTCACATCTCGCAGCCCCCCAGGGATGGCGAGGTTTAATTTGAATATGCGTGTGGCGTCACTGTGCTGGGCCCCCCAGCAGGCCTCGAAAGTGGCGACTGTTTCACAGATCGCAGCCCCCCCAGGGATGGCGAGGTCCCATTTGAGCCTGCCGTGCGTACCCACTGTGCTGGGCCCCTCAGCGGCCCTCGAAAGTTGCGACA